GGGGGGGCTGTGGAAACAGTGCCCCCCCCCCCCCTCCCGGTTCCCAGGGAAAAATCCAGATCCAGGGGAGACTGCCAGACCAGAGGCTGGTATAGTCAGCCCATCTCACAGCAACCTGCCAACTCTGACGCAGACTTGGGCAACAGTACCAGCTCAGATCTAGCCCCAAGTCACCTACTGAGGCAACAACAGAGTGGAGGGCCGGGGTTTCATGTGGCCAGGCAGAGGTTCAGGTTCAGGGCCCAGAGGGTCTTAGGCTCTGGCAGGTGAGCTACCCTAGGGGAGCCTGAACCCATCTTGAAACCCCCGCCTCCATCTCCTGGAACCTCTGAAGACCAAGTTCCATGCCCCAGCTTTGCTGACCAGCTGCTAGACTCCACTCCACGTGTGTGGACCATGATGTAGTCCCTAAAACCAGTTGGACCCCTTGTCTGACATGAACAAGACAGCTCTAGGTGTCATTCTGTCCTGGATAGGGGAGGGGGAAGGCAAGAGCCACAGAGGTGGGTAGAGGGTGGGCCCAGTCCCAGCCCCAGGCATCCACTGCAGGGTATGGCTGAGCCACCGCTTATGAGGACATCGAGCCCCGGGAAAGGAAACTCCAATTAGCCTAAAAGCATGAACTCAGTGCTGGCTCCTGGCCTGCAGTTGCAGTTACGATGGCACCTGACAAATTACGTGAGTTTTCTGGATCGTTAAGCGGTACTGTCATTGAGGGGTAGCTTTCGGGAAGGTTCTGAGGGCAGCCTTGGGGTTCAACACTTCTGGGCTGGCCTCCAGGTGCTGACTGGACTGGTGGTGCCCCCAGGGCAGGGGAGGCCCCTGGCACCTTGGCCCAGAACTGGCTGCTACCCCAGTGTCCTTGCCTTGACCAAGGTTGAGGAGACTCGGTAGCCATCAGGATGTGACCAGTGTGAACCCACACTGCTTTCCCTGGGTCACAGCCACCTTGGAGACCTCGGCCTGCAGCTGAGGCTGTGGCTCCCCACCCCCTCAGATTGGGTAGCTTTCGGGAAGGTTCTGAGGGCAGCCTTGGGGCTCACACTTCTGGGCTGGCCTCCAGGTACTGACTGGACTGGTGGTGCCCCCAGGGCAGGGAGGCCCCTGGCACCTTGGACCAGAACTGGCTGCTACCCCAGTGTCCTTGCCTTGACCAAGGTTGAGGAGACTCGGTAGCCATCAGGATGTGACCAGTGTGAACCCACACTGCTTTCCCTGGGTCACAGCCACCTTGGAGACCTCGGCCTGCAGCTGAGGCTGTGGCTCCCCACCCCCTCAGATTGAGAGCGGCCTGTCCTTCAAGGTCATGCAAAGGCACCAGGGTGACAGATGAGTATCTGAATAGTCTGAGAACCACAGCTTCCCAACACGATTTTTAAGTCAGGCCTGACAGCCTGCCTTGAGGGTCCTGGAGCCCAGCCTGGGACTTGGAACAACCCTCAGCACACACGGAGGACTAAAGAGGACAGACTTTTAGATCTTTTGTTAACAAAATAGCACCAACTGGACACAACAGACACGAGTGGATCAACACAGACAAAACGATCCCTCATGCAAGTAACAATCCAAACACGGAACCAGGGAAAGGAGAGCTTGTAACAGTGCTGTTGGTCTGGGGGCTTTGGCCCAGTGGCCCAGGATGGGTGGCTGTGCCGGCCTGTCCCTGGGTAGGAGTCTGGTCCTTGCACTCATTTTGTAGGCCGGGTAATGATGCGGGTGGAGAAGTCAAACAGGTCTCGATTGATCTTGCGCAGGTTCTGCACCTCGTCTTCCAACTCCGTGATTCGGATCCGCAGCTGGTCCTGGCCGCCCAGCACATTCTGGGAAGGAGCAGGGTTGGGGGGTGGGGGCGCTCAGGGTGGAGGGCCCTCTGACATTTTGGGATGTGGGAGGGCAGAATCTCCTCCGCAATTAACAGTCCCACTCCACCACACCCCACTGCAGCCTCTCCCTTCTCCATGGCCCTACCCACCTTTTCCATTGTGCTGCACATTACCATGTGCAGCTGCTCTGCTCGCTCCAGGTAGCTGGGCTCCGATCCCTGCAAAAGGGGCTGCCTTAGTGACCTCTGGGCTCACCACCCAAAGGTGAGGGGGCGCCATCCTGATGCTGCTCACAGATGGAAGACTGGTTCCAAGTGTCGCTCACTGAGTGGGATGTCTCTGTGGGAGGCTCCACCTCCACCCAACACCCAGCAGGAAGCACCGTGTCAGCCTCCTCAGATCTGCTGCCTGTTGCAGGACTGTGCCCAAGGGATGGGGACAGTCAAGGCCACACCACGGGTGTGGGATTAGAGCCAAGCTTTGGGGGATATGCAGAAACCAGGGCCAAGAAGGCTCTAGAAAAGGACCAGCTAGCATGTGGGCAGAACCTCCCACCCACTGACATTGCGCAGTGGAGAGCCCGTCGTCCACTTCCTGCTAGATGCAGTCTAGACATGCTGCCCTTGGCTGGCAGACAGGCACTCGGTCCTGCTATCCATCATGATGTCTGAGCGAGGGGCCTGGACACCCTTGTGGGGCTCATGATTCCAGGGCACGGGAACAGTGGACAGAGGTGGACTGAGCAGAGCCAGAGGGTAAATGTCAGGCCCTGCCGAGGACAGGCCAGGGGTGATCTCTGGCGGGGAGTTCCTGGTGGGGACCAGGGGAGTGAGCGCTGCCTACTGTCCTGCTGGAGAAGGCACTGGATACAGCGTCTTTGGTCGGGCTTGTCTTATTTGAGAATGTACCCTGGTATGTGGTCTGCTTCTAGTGTGGAAGGTGCTTTTCACTGCCTAGGCTCAGCAATGCACTCAGAGGGGTCTCCTCACTGACCGCATATGTGGAGGGTCCTCACAGGGATCCTGGCCAGGAGCCCTACCCGCAGGGAACACAGACATGCTGTAGAGGCTGAGCCGGGGCAGGGAGCCGGCTGGACCAGTACCTGCTGGTGGAGGCCCAGGCGCAGAGTCAGGCCCCCGCGGCGCTGCTCATCCCCATGCTCAGCGCCCAGCAGGTGCTTGTTGAAGTGTGGCAGGGGCAGGCTGGGCCGGAAGTCGGAGCTCAGCATGCTGACCGGCGCCAGCATAATGAAGGCGTTGGTCACGGGACCTGGGTAGGGCAGGTGGCCAGTCAGGAGCTACCTCGGCCAGGCCTGGGCCATGGCTCCCACACCCTCCACTCCTCAAACCCACCCACCTGTACAGGAGTGGCCCATCTACTTTCCTCTAGCTGGTCCTACCTCCCAGCACCCAGCCAAGTGGCTGGGGTGTGGACAAACGGGCAAAGCCACCCAGCCTACAGCCTGTTGGTCTTCTGCCCCCAGCCCCACCTTTCAGGGTCACTGTCCTGATGCACTGCTTGCTCTGGATGTCCCAGACGCGCACGGTCTCGTCATGTGAGCCGGAGAGCAGCACGCTGCCATCAGTGGACACTGACAGGCAGGTCACCTGGTTCCTGGGGACACAGGTCTGAGAAAGGGTGGCCCAAATGACCCCCGACCCCAGGAGCTAGAGAACAGGGCCCCTCCCCAGCTACCAGTCTGGTCCCCACACCTGTGGCCTTTGAACACCTTCCCGCTGTCCTGTTCTGACTGGAAGCTCTTCTCGCTTTGTCCAGGCTGTGGAGGCCGAGGGGCAGTAAGCAGAGGGATACAGTTGTACCTCAGCCCTGGGGGCCCCAGGGCATTGGGGTGATGGGCTGGGGCAGAGCCCAATTGGCTCAAAGACCTAGATGCAGGGGAGGATGGACAGTCCCAGGGCCTTTGAAGGATGGACCCTGGGTGTCCCACTGTCCCATAAGCCTCCAACCACGGGCCCAGGCACCCACCACTCACCCAGGTGCAGAGGTCGACCTGGAAGATGGAGCCCTCACTGCCACCGCAGAACATGTGATGCTCAGCTAGGTCCATGGTCACGGCCATAATGCCCACGTCAAAGAGCACAGAGAGCAGCAGCTCGCCCGAGGAGATCTCCCATAGCTGGGGGCAGGCGGGATATGGGATGGGGCTCCACAGACACTGGGGTCCCAATGGTGCAGGGAGCTGAGCAGCCCTGAATGGGAGACCCTGTACCAGAACCTCAGAAGGGAGCTGTCACTCAGGGGGATCTCGGCCCTGGGGCACTTCCTAAGACACAGCTGGGTTCTCACGCCCAGGACCCCTTGACACTCCATTTTAGCTGCTGTCAGGCCTGGATTCTGCCTTCCACCACCATCACCACAAGGACAAAGACCTAAAGGCTGGACATCGTCAAATCCCCGAGGAGTCAGGGAGCCACCAGGGGCGGGTGGCCAAGCAAGAATTTCAGAGCCAACACAGGCCTAGTTTGCTGTCCCAAGGATGTCCTCGAGGTGGGAAGCCTTGGGGGATTGATAGCTGTATAGAGCTACCAGCCTGGGGGGAGCAGGAGATCCACTGACTCACATCAGCCAAGAGCCTGCCAGCTACCCCAGCCCAGCTCACAGATCCACTGTGGGGGAGGGGGCCGGTCCTACCTTCACCGTCTGGTCCAGCGATGCTGTGGCCACCCGGGCCAAGGGACCCCCGAAGCCACAGTGCATGTCTGTGATGGGGAGGGTATGGTGGGACCAAACATGCCGGGGGGCTGGGGTCCTGGAGGAGTCCACCTGCAGCACGCTGCGGGAGAAGTGGATTCAGGGGGAGGGCTGTACCCGATGCCTCCACCCACCTCCACAGTCACTGGCCCATCCCACTGGCAGAAAATTCTCAGATGTCTCCAGTCAGCCCTGGACAAACAATCACACTGTCCTCACAACAGTCCACCCAACCTGCAGGCCCCAGACCCGGTTCCTTCTTGCCCCGGGACTTTGGCGTGGCCTTCTGTAGGGCAGGCTCCTGCCCTCTGGGCTGAGGCCTCACCTGGCTGGAAGCTACGGACTAGGCGCAGGCCCGAGTGGGTCAGGGCGCTACCTGCACAGGCTCCACACCAGCACCAGGCAGTCCTTGCCGCCCGAGAGGAAGTGGCTGCTGTCCCCTGTGAACTGCAGGCAGGAGATGTCCTGGTAGTGGCGGCTCAGGATGACCAGGAGGTTCCCTGTGGAGACCTGGGGAAGGCAGGGCACACGCAGGTCAGGGCAGGATGCAGGGTGCAGTGCCGGGCCCTACAGTTGGCAGGCTACTGAGGCGAAGGGAGAGTCTGTCCAGGGGCAGGGAGAAGGGTGGTATGACAACAGCATCCAGAAAAGGAATGGGTGGGAGTGACAAAGCTGGTGAGGGAGCTGGTCCTTTCTGGAGCAGCTCCTCATGGTGACTGTCACAGCAGGACGTCACAGTCTTCCAGGCCAGCTGTGAGGGGCTTCAAATGCAGCCTCGACACTTGGTCTAGCAGGAGGGAGGGGGGGGGGAGTTAGGGCCAGACAGCAACCCCAATGGCCTGGAGTACTATGACTGTCCCCCATCAAGGAGGGGGGACCTCCTAAGATGCCCCCATCAGGCCACAAGCCACTGGTTTCTATCATGCCCCCGGCACCAGGCTGGCAGCAATCAGGGCAAAGGTTTCTACCATGACGGGCAATCTGTGAGGAGCCTCTCCATGCCTCCGTTTCTCTCCCTGTGCATGAATAACTGCTTCCTTGTTTCAGAACCAGGACTAAGGCTTAAAAGTCCCAGGATGAGATATCAAAGCTTCTCCCATCTTGCAGAGAACTCAGTTCCCTTGGCAGACCTCTATTTTGCAGGTCAAGGTTAAGGTCAGGCAAGGCAGAGGTGGTTATATCCACCTTCTGGCCCCAAATCCTACACTGTCTGCACAGGAGGTGAGGCAGGTCTCCCCTCTCAAACAACCAACTGTTGGTGACAACGCTGCTGGTGGTCTAACTCCGCGGTCCATAGGCTAAGCCCCATGACCCTGGCTCTGACACTCACCTCCCATAGGTATATGCTCTCTGCAATCCCTGCCAACATGTAGAGGCCGTTGGGCGATGTGGTCAGACAGGTAACAGGCCCGGGGCACATGATCTTCTGCTGGAGCTGGTCCTAGAGGAACATAAGAAGCCTATGAGCTTCATGCAGGACTAGGGAGCCAGGGAGCAGTGAGGAGAGTGAGTGGGGGGTGCCCAGGGAGCTGGTAAATCCACAAAAACCAGAAAGAATGGGGATAGAGATAGTTTGAGCAAATTCACGGTTCAGTAAAGAAGTGATCACTCCAGCCCAGGTTTTGCATGCTGGAGGTGGAGAATGGCAAATCCTTGGATAAGAGCAAGGTGGTGTTCCTGCCTGGATGCAAGGCGTGGCTCTGTGGATGAGCGTCAACCTATGAACCAGGAGGTCACGGTTCGATTCCCGGTCAGGGCACATGCCTGGGCTGTGGGCTCAATCCCCAGTGTGGGGCGTACAGGAGGCAGCCAATCGATGATTCTTTCTCATCATTGATGTTTCTCTTTCTCTCTCCCTTTCCCTTCCTCTCTGAAATCAACTTAACAATAGATACATATATTTTTAAAAAAAGAAAAGACGGTGCTCTTATGGGCATAGGGATGGGGGTGGGAGAGGCACAGAGGGTCCAGGAGGGCGTTGGGGCTGAAGAACCCAAAGGCCAGTCGTCTCATTCCCCAATCCTGCCTTCCTAAGGCCCCCTACCATGACCTTGAACCTCAGTTTCCAAATCTCTAAAATGGGAAAATGTAAGTTCTGTGTGGCCCACACCAGGCAAAGCCAGAGCACAATGCTTGTCCCAAGAGATGCCAGCTGGCAGAAAAAGGCAGCGTGTAGCTGCAGGAGCAGCATTTTGGGGTTGCTTTAAGAGACACCATGGGCTCTGAGGAGGGATAGTCTCTCTTTTGGGAGGAGAAAAGTCTCCCGTGCTACCTTTTCAGGGGGCTCACCAGGCCTCAGACCTTCACTTTCCAAACCTACGAGACCCATGAGACCCCAACTACAAACTCTCCCTTTAAATTTAGCACCCTTAGAAGTTTGTTGACCCATCCCTGAGTCCAGTGCTAACAAACAGGCCTTAGAATGCAGCTTGACACCTCCCCCACAACCCCCCACATGCAGCCAAGAAAAGAAATGGATGGAGCCCTAACCGGTTTTGCTCAGTGGATAGAGCGTAGGCCTGCGGACCAAAGGGTCCCATGTTCAATTCAGGTCAAGGACACATGCCCAGGTTGTGGGCTCGATGCCCAGGTTGTGGGCTTGATCCCCAGTAGGGTGCGTGCAGGAAGCAGCCAATCAATGATTCTCTCTCACCATTTATGTTTCTACTCTCCCTCTCCCTTCCTCTCTGATATCAATAAAAAACCATTTTTTAAAAAATGGGTGGCTTGTCCTGGCTGGTTTGGCTCGGTAGATGGAGTGTCAGCCTGCAGACTGAAGGGTCCCGGGTTCAGTTCCGGTCAGGGGCGTGTACCCTGGTTGCGGGCACATCCCCAGTGGGGGGTGTGCAGGAGGCGGCTGATTGATGTTTCTCTCTCAATGTTTCTAACTCTCCCTTCCTCTCTGTAAAAATCAATGAAATGTATTTTTTTTTAAATAAAAGGGTGGCCCTAGCCGGTTTGGCTCAGTGGATAGAGCGTCGGCCTGTGGACCAAAGGGTCCTGGGTTAGATTCTGGTCAAGGGCAGGTGCCCTGGTTGCAGGCTCCCTGGCCCAGGCCCTGGCCGGGGCTCATGCAGGAGGCAACCAATCGATGTTTCTCCCATACTGATGTTTCTCTCTCTTTCCCTCTCTCTCCCTAAAAATCAATGAAAAAAATGTCCTCGGGTGGAGATTAACAACAAAAATTGGGTGGAGCAAACCTATGTTTCTCTCTCTCTCTAATCAACGTTTAAAAATACCACTGCAAACCAACCACAAAACTTCGCGCCCCTTTTCGTAAAGCTCTCTCTAGGGACCCACCACCTCCCCATCTCTTCATGCCCGCAAGCGCCTGGCCCGCAGCCTCAGGCCCGCCCCCACTTCCCCCAGCCCGCTCGGGGCACCCGCACCTCCCTTCGACCAGTAACACCCCCGACCACCACCACCCGCGCATGCGCAGAGCACCCTAACCGAGACTTCCTCCCGGCTCAGGGCGTGGGCAGACCCCCGTGGACCCCAGTCTATGGCGTCCCGCGCACCCCCAGCGGAGTTCGAGCCCTGGCACGCGCCGCCGCACCTTCCGTTGCAGCTCCCAGGCGCTGATGTAGTTCTTGCCCAGCTGCGCCGCCAGCAGGTATTCGCCATTGAGTAGCGTCAGACCACGGGGCCCAGCCTGGCCGCCGCGGTACGTGAGCAGATTAGCGCCCGAATGGAGCTCCCATACGACGCAGCTCCACAACTGGGCGGACGAGTCTGTACACACGGCTACCTCGATGGGCGCCGCCATCTTCCTCTCCCCCCGCCCCGGAAGTGCGTCACACCAGCAAGATGCGGGCGCCTTCGCCGGAGGGCTAGAGCGGCGCCCACGTTGTCCCGCCTCCGGCGGCTGGAGGGCGGACTCCCCGGTGAATTGGCCCCCCACCACCATCACCCCGGACCCGCTGAGAATCCAGGGGCGCAACGTCTGATCGAAGATGTTGGCAGGAGACCTCTTGCGAAACTAGATGGAAAAGAAATCAAGGCCCAGGGTCTTCTGCGAGAAGTTAGTCGGTTCAGAGCTTGGAAGTCGGGCTTGTCTCTCACGCTTGGCGCTCTCGGATTCTTTGCTTATTTTTAATACGCAAATAATAAAGTACCGACCTCACAGGCGTCAAGTGCAGACTCCGTACCGACATATTTGGCGGCACTTAATACATTGCAATTAAGTGCGTACTCAGGGATCCACCATCAGCCTACCCCCGGACCCTGCTTCTTGGGCGGGAGGCTACAAAATCCACATTTTTAGTTCATGAACTTGGTGCAGGCCAAACAAGTCGGGAGCGCCTAACTTCAGGTCACAGCTGCTGTCCCGGCCGCGTCTAAAAACTACTTTAAAATGTGGAATTAGTTGCTAATCTTTGAAAAGGGAAAAATCACTTAAAAAATAGAAATCTCCAGCCGGGGAGACGTGGCTGCCTGGGGCAGTGTGTCCGCCAGCAGCACCGGGGGCTCCCGCTGCTCGGTGCCTGCAACTGGATGCCGAGCGCGGCCCGCGGGGCGCCCGGATCCCGCAGGCCCGGTTCCGGCCACCAGGTGGCAGGCGGGAGCCGTGGGCCGGGGGGCGGAGTGTGGGCCGCTCCCGGCCCCGGGGCCACAGTGCGGAGCGGTTACGGGGAGGGAAGGGCTTCCCGGAGGAGGTGTCCTTGAAGCGGGGAACTAACCACTTGAAGAGAAAGGTGGGCAGAGGCAGTGCCAAGGCCCTACGGCCAGGCCCTGGAGGGGGCGCTGGGCCATCGAGGGCCTTGTGGGCAGTGGGAAGCCTGCATTTAATTTTTTTTCCTGGGGCATAGGAGACAGAAGGACTATTGTAGGTTGATGAGAGCTAGGGGCGTCAAACCCCAGCACTAGCTAAATGGGGAAACTGAGGCTGGGACCACCTAGTCCAAAGACGGACTGGAACTAGAACCAGCTGTTTCCGATTTCCACCGCCATACCCAGCGGATGACCCCAGGTTTCTCAAATGTTTTTTAAAGTGTGAATAAGAGAAAGAAGATACCTCCAATGATAAATTACCCTTCTCAAACACCAAAATAAAATATCTTTTAGGCTTTTTCCCAAAACCAAATCTTTGCATGCTGAAATCCGGCACGCTGCAGAACCAGGGGGTGGGCCAAGGTGGCCCTTTTAAACAGCAACTCAGGGCTTAAAACTGGCACTTCTGAGTCCTAGGGCAGGTCACTGCACACCCCTGGGCCTATTCCCCACGTGCAAACTGGGGGTTCCTCGGAGCTAAAGGGTCTGTGTCCTCATCCTGGGAAGGCTGGCCTGGAAATTTCCAAATTCCAGATTCCAGGACAGAGGTGGGCCCAGCTGGTATGGTTTGCAGAGGACCAGCTGTGCCAATGGGGATAAGGGACAGGGTGGATGCTCAGGCTGGAACAGGTCCAGGCGGTGCCCCAGGGCAGGACGGCTGGATTGCAGTCAGGCCCCCTCACAGGCCTCTCCCTCCCCTCCTCCCCTCCTCCCTTCCCTGGGGACCCAGTAGGCCAGGCTGCTGTCAGGTCAGAGGTCACCCCACCCCCAGCCCTGTTCCTGGAATGAGGACAGACCAGTTGTGTCAGAGGAGCAAGACAAAAGCCACACTTTGAGGGCCTGCAGACCACCCAGTCTCTAGACCTCCTTGGTGCCAGCCAGGCGCCACCTCCCAAATCCAAGCTGAGAGGCCTTGGTGGTAGTTGGGCAGCGGCAGCAAGTAGGCTTGGGGAAACTGAGGCACAGAAGCCGGCACCATCCCTCTGGTTCTAAGCCCCTGTTTGCAGGCACTGGTACACACTGCTGAACCAAACCAGACCCAGCCACATCTCACACCCTGCCCACCCCGGGGGCGGGGGCCTTGAACAATCCTAGCAGCTCCCATGATGTGCATTAATGGTGTAAGGAATAGCGGATGAGCCCAGAAGCAATCATCCTTTTCAGGCATCCTTTCAACAGCCCCCCAGCCCCACCCCCTCCACCTAGGTCTGCCTCTCCCTCCTGCCAATCAGGCCTAGTTTTGAGTTTCATCTCCTGGGAGCCTCTCTGCCTCCTAACAAGCAGAGCTGGAGGCAGGAGGTGCCTCAGGGCTGGGAGGTGGGGGAGCCCGACCCCTTCCTTCGTGCCCTCAGGAGCGGTGTGACCCCAGGGCCCCCAGTCCCTCTCGAGGCCTCTTCAGCGGAGGAATAAAGATGCTAGACTAGCCCATCCAGTTTGTCGGAAAAGGGCTTTAGAAACAAACACACACAACAGAAGACACTTTTCCTTTATGTCCCTGGGGAGCAGGGGCTGAGAGAGGCAGGTGGGTTACCAGGCCCATGGAGATAGAGATGTAGCCAGTCCACTTCTGGCGTGGATGGAAAATGCTGGTGAGATGGGCCATAGGAAGCGACCAGCTGCCACAGGAGGGGGTTGTTTTTCCAGACTCCTGACCAGCTTTGGGGGCTGACCCAGGAGGAAGGGACAGGCCCAGGGCGGCACCAGCCAAGAGCTAGTGGCAGGGGAGCCGGTGGCAGGAGGCCGGGCCTGTCCACTTCCCGACCATGCTGACCTGGAGCCCATCGTGCCCCCTGGGTGTGGGTGATGTGAGGGGCAGCCCAGGAAATCTTTCACCGGCAGCAACCTCCATGCTGCCGTCAGGTTTGGGTGTGGAGGCTGAGAACCAGGGTTTCCCTCTGTCTGGGCTGAGCCCACGGTTTGCAATTGTAGCCCAACAGCCCGATCATCCCTTGGTGAGGTTTCTTTGGAGCCAGACGGTACTGAAAGACAAATGCTAAAGTGTGAACCCAACCACGGAGGGCAGGCTCAGCGGGGCAGGGTGGCTTCCTCAGATGCCAGCAAGGAGGGGGCAGGCGTCAGGCCACGTGCCCTAGGGGCTAGAGTCAGACAACTCAGGGGTAACACTGGGCATCAGAACCCAGGATAGCAGGAGGCCTAAGCTAGGGAGCTAGAGGAACCAGCAGGGTGACACAGGGGGAGGGAGCTACCCCCCAGACCTGGCTTTGCTAGTGTCTCCTTCTCTAAACTGCTGATACAGGAGCCTGGTCACTCTTGGATAGAGCCATGCTGGGCTCTCTGGGGGAGTTGGGCAACATCCCTGGCCTCACCCACTTGGTGACAGGAGCACCCCCAGCCGTGACAACCACAGATGATCCCAGACATTACCCAGTGTTCCCTCGGGGCACAGTCCCCACTGGAGGACCCCTGTGCCTTCTGCTAACTGGACCCAGACAGGGTGCGGTGACGCCCAGGAAACCACCACCGAGACGTTTTCTGTTAAAAGTCAGAAGTGTTTTGTCTTGTTTTAATATCTCATCAGCTTTACAGGGTTACAATTGTCTTAAATATTTCTGAAATTTAAATACAATCTGCACAATAATGTTATAAAATGTAAACTTTCAGTGTTCTTTTAAATTTCAAAATCCCCCCCCCCCCCCCCCTTTTTTTGGTCTTTTGCCCCCCACCCCGCTAATACCTGAATGTTCTGTAGAACTGAAATCCTTACCAGCTGCCCCACCGGCCACAGTGACTGACAGGCGAGGCCCGGCCAGAGGTAGAGTAGTTTATAACTTTTTAAAAAGTTTTTTTTCCTTTAACCTGAGTTCGGGCGTGGTCCCCACGCCATCGGACAAACCCCAGAGAAACTGAAATTTCACATGTCAGGAATGAAAGGCTGAATTCATTCGTGTTTGCCAAGAAAAAAACGCACAAGCAAGCAAGAGAAAAACGATAGAAGTGGGCAAAAGTCATAAAAGCAAAAAAAAAAAGTGACTGTACAAATGCACAACTATTAAAAACTAACTCTGCTGCCCAGCGCCTCTGCCCGCCCCCTGCCCGCCAGCTCCACAGCCCCGTGGCCAGGTTAGGGGTCACAAGGAAGATCTGGAAGCAGCCGGTAACAGACACCTCTAGAGCAGTTAGGTTAGCCCCTGAGCCCCCCTTGACCCTGAGTTTGGGACTCCTACCTGCTCTGTGCAGCTAAGCCCCACCCGTTCCAGAACGAACAGTGCACAGGCAAGCCGCTGACAGAGATGGATGTCCCGGCCCCACCCGTTCCAGAACGAACAGTGCACAGGCAAGCCGCTGACAGAGATGGCTGTCCCGGCCCCACCCAGTTTGCATAAAGGGGTGCTGAGCTGCACCCCAGAACCCTCACCAACAGGAGGTTGCCCTGAGCTGGGATTGGCAGAGGGGACACGAGGCAGAGGCCACAGCACTGCCCAGCCTGGAGCTCCCCCTCATCTTTCCACCTCTCCCCCTGCGTACGGCTCCCCCAGGGCTGTCCCCCCACACCCTGGCCCCCTACAATCACCATGAACAATAGGCATGCCCTGAGTTAGATCTGGGGGCTATTTCACCCACAAGACATGATGCCCAACACACTGGCAGAGGGGACACGAGGCAGAGGCCACAGCACTGCCCAGCCTGGAGCTCCCCCTCATCTTTCCACCTCTCCCCCTGCGTACGGCTCCCCCAGGGCTGTCCCCCCACACCCTGGCCCCCTACAATCACCATGAACAATAGGCATGCCCTGAGTTAGATCTGGGGGCTATTTCACCCACAAGACACGACGCCCAACACACGCAAGCAGACACGCACACACACACACACACACACACTCATGCGACTGGAGACAGCACCCAGGCAGACTCTCAGGTGGACACGCCCACGACGCAGGTGGGAGCGGACGGGTACTGGTACATGCTGAAACCCTGAGCCAGCCGAGGAGGGCAGGCTGAGAGGGGTTTTGGCATCAAGAGTCAGACCCGAGGTAGAAATAACCAGGCAGCAGACACCCCCATGTGGGCCCCATGTGGCTCCAGGGGGTCAGGTCAGGGGAGAAGAGAGAAGGAGCATCCGGTATCGCTGCTCTTGGGCAAAAAGGTCCCCCTCCCACAGTGATTGTACTGCTGCAGTAAGGAACGGGGAGGAGACTCTTGCATAAGGAAAAACAGAGAGGAAACCCCACCTGCCTGCAGCCACCACTGCCCTGGGAGGTGGAGGGTGTCCTCGACCCTGAGACATATCAACGAAAGGGGCTCTCCCCAAGGACCCCACAGCTTCACACCCAAGCAAACCCAGACTGGTGGTGGGGGGGGGGGCAGGATGCTCTCCCCTCCAAGGTCCCCAAGGCCACAAGATGACCCTGGGCCAGGGATCACTGGATCAGGACTCTGGGAGGCTGCCAGGTGGGGCACTGCCGTTTTTGGCATCGTTAGGCCAGGCCAGGCTCCCGGGGCCCAATTAGAGTTTCCAGGCAAACTCAGTGCGTGAAAGGAAAGGGCGCCAAGTTGTGGGAGGCACCATTTCAGTCCAGGGCAGGGTGGCCAAGGAAGTCCCCGAACCCCGCCTGGGCTTTGGATGGAGGGTGCTGCCTCATGGTGAAGACCATCACCGCTGGTCCCTATTCCGTGGGGAATAGGCCGCTGAAATAACTCCCCAACCCAGCCCTCCCGCTGATGACCACCTTCTGACCTGGGGTAAGTGGTCACGCTGGGAGTGGGTGCAGCCTTCCCTGGGCCTCTGTTTAGTTCCTTCAGTTATAGCAGATGTGGCCTTGCAAGGGGCCAAGAGAGAATGAAGGGACAAAGTGAAGGAGATGGGAAGGGGTGGGGTGTTCAGGATGACATGGCCTCAAAAACCTCAATCTGAGCGAAGGCTGGCTCACCCCAGTCCCCAAATATCCGTATGTCTTTAAAAGCAGCCCTTTCAAAAGCGTCGGTGGTCTAGTGGTGAGCATAGGTGCCTTCCAAAGCAGCCCTTTTGGCCCTGCCGGGGCGGCTCAGTGGTTGAGCGTTGACCCATGACCCAGGAGGTTGGATTCCCAATCAGGGCACATGTCTGGGTTGTGGGCTCAATCTCTAGCAGGGAGGGTGCAGGAGGCAGCCAGTCGATGAGTCTCTCTCATTGATGTTTCTCTCTCTCTCCCCCTCTCCTTCTTTCTTTGAAATCAATGAAAACATATTAAACAAACAAACAAAAAGCAGCCCTTCCAGGTAAGAGAGAGTCCCCAGGCCATAGTCATCCCTGAGTCAGGAGCCTCAGGGCTATGACAGCACATCCCCTCCCAGGCCCTGGCCCTTGATCCAGCACTTTCTTTCTAGTTAAGACTTCCGGATCCCTGACAGGGAGCACGCACGGCACAAGGAGAAAAAGCACGGAGAGTCTTGGTCTGCCATTCAGCATTCACATTCCCAGTTCCCCCTGGGCTTGCCCCCGCATGGACCCCACTCCAGCCCGGCCCTCAGCACCTGAGTTCATTACCTTTTCTGGCTCTAGCCCAGGGATACAGTGTCCTGTGCCTGCTAGCTGCCTACCGCAGCACAGAAAATGCACACATGAACCCGATTCAGTCATGGGAAAGATTTAAAGGATATTCCTTTTTTTTCCTTTTTTTAAGTCCCGTTTCCCTGAATGAACACAAATATATAGAGATATATATCCTTTTCCTAAGGTTTGATTCCTCCCCCAAGAATAAAATAGAACATTTACAAAACAAAACCCCCCAAACCTCTTAAAAACCCTATAGAGCTTGAATATCGCTATTTCTTTAAAAAATAATAATAATAATAAAAAGTTCCCAAAAGCAACAAGAAAAAAATTCAACTGATCTTGGCTCAGGGGTTTCATTCAAAACAACGAACTGGGTGTGATGAGTGGATGAGTGTGTGATGAACAGGAACAAAAGTAAAAAAAAAAAAACAGACAAAAATGAAAACACACAGTGCAGGGATATATGAGGTAAACAGAATCTGGCCTTACATTGCAACTGGTCCAAACCAGACACCAGACACCAGTCCGAATCGGCCCGCCAGGGCTGCAGGAAAGCCCTGGGGAGTATTTGCCGCTCTCTTTCCTGATTTCCTTAGCTGTTCTTACAATTCACTTCTCTGAATGTCTGAAACCTGAGTAATTCAAGTGTTCCTTGGTTTTCCCCTGTTTTATTAAATTTTCTTTATATATATGTCTATATTTTCTTCTTCTATTTTTGGTGTTAGCTGTGGCTCCTTTGTGGATATTTCCCCTCCCCACCCGTATCTTCCACCACCCCGGCCCTGCCCGGCCCACCTTTCCACACCCTGCCCAGTCTGACCAGCTCCTGGGTGGGGGGCGGCGGGTGGGGAGTGGTGCAGTTAAGGCAATGAATTATTTGAGGTAGAAGACGTCGGGGGTGCGGACAGCCCCGCTGGCCCGGCCTGGCTGCCCGCGCTGCTGCTGGTCCCACTGCTTCCTCCCCGGCTGCTGCCACCACCGCCTTTGCTGGGAGCTGAGGAGGGCGTGGAGGCTGGTGGCTGAGCAAACAGCACTCCTAATGCAAGGACAGGAGAAGAGACATGTCATGGAGAGTTAAAACATTATGTGACAGGTGCAAGGGGCTCCCCAAGCAATGACCCCCTGCAAAGTCCACCCATGGACCCACCAGGACACCCACCACCTCATCTTAGTCTCTGCTTCCTGTGGGGGGTCTTTGCCCAGCAACCCAGCTGTTTTGGGTCCCTAGCACCACCTGGTGGCCTCATGAGCAACTGGCCTGACTACATTTTTTTTTACAAGGAACTTTCAAACACCACTTGTACAGTTCACCACGAACACAGGTGTTAGAGAGGCAGTAACTCCCGGCACAGTTTAAAATCCAAATACAACTTTTAACTCCCCAAAACTTAACCACTAATAGTCTACTATTGACCAGAAGACTTACTGATAACATAAGCAGTGATAAACACATATTTTGATTTTTTTTCTTTTTAAATTGATTTCAGACAGGAAGGGAGAGGGAGAGAGATAGAAACATCAATGACGAGAGAGAATCATTGATCAGCTGCCTCCTGCATGCCCCCTATTGGGGATGGAGCCTGCAACCGGGGCATGTGCTCTTGACTGGAATTGAACCTGGGACCCGTTGGTCCACAGGCTGATGCTCTATCCACTGAGCCAAACCAGCTAGGGCTGAACACATATTTTATATTATATGTCTTATATACTGAATTCTTATAATAAAGTAAGCTAAAGAAAAGGAAATGTTATTAAGAAAATCATCAGAGCCCTAGCCGGTTTGGCTCAGTGGATAGAGCATCGGCCTGTGGACTGAAGGGTCCCAGGTTCAATTCCACTCAAGAACATATGCTCAGGTTGCGGGCTCAATCCCCATTAGGGGGCATGCAGGAGGCAGCCGATCAATGATCTTTCTCATCATTGATGTTTCTCTCTCTCCTTCTCCCCTCCTCTCTGAAATCAATTAAAAAAATATATATATGTATGAAAATCATCAGGGCCTTGCCAGTGTGGTTCAGTGGTTGAGTGCTGACCCAGGAAGCAACAGGTTGCCGGTTCGATTCCCTGTCAGGGCACATGTCTGGGGTTGCGGGCTCGAACCCCAGAAGGCAGCCAATCGATGGCCCTCTCTCATGGATGTTTCTATCTCTCTATCCCTCTCCCTTCCCCTCTCTCTCTCTAAAAAGATAAAATAAAATAAATTAAAAGAAAAAAAAAAGAAAATCATCAAGAAAATACATTTCCTAGCCCTAGCTGGTTTGGCTCAGTGGATAGAGCATTGGACTGCGGACTGGAAGGTCCCAGGTTCAATTCCGATCAAGGGCACATGCTGGGGGTGGAGGGCATGCAGGAGGCAGCCGATCAATGATACTCTCTCATCACTGATGTTTCTATCTCTCCCTCTCCCTGCCTCTCTGAAACCAATAAAAAAATATTAAAAAAAAGAAAATACATTTCCAGTATTTATTGAAAAAAAAATGCATGTATAAGTGGACCCACGCAGCCCAAACCCTTCTTGTTCAAGGGTAACTGTATTTTTGAGCACTTATTATGTGCTAAGCCCCATGCTAAGTGCTCATTATGTGCTGAGAACTGTGCCAAGTACTCACTATGTGCTGAGCACTGTGCTAAGGATACTACATTGGTTATACACTCAAGTCTCCAAGGGAAGGAAGAACTTTGCTCACTCTAATGGCTGGGCTCATGCAGGCCAAACCCGGAGGTTGCCCAGGACTCCTAAATTAACCCGGGAGTGAAGTTGTCAAGGTGTTACCTGTATACATAATTCCGTTAATCTCCACTGACATGCTAATACTATTGCTGCCATTGGTGCTGGTCACGTTTGCAGCTGAGTCCTGGCGGCTCTCAGAGGCTGTGGGAAGAAGAAAAGCCACCGTTTGGAATCACAAACTCATCGGTGCAATGATCCTTTTCACATCTATCCATCCCCACTGGGCTTTAAACTTCACAAAGCTGCGGACTGTATCTTCCACCAGCACACGCAGGACATAATAAATATAGAATGAGAATGTATTTGTCTGACATTGGCTTTTATCATGATTGTAATTCTTAAGCGATGTTGCACACCCAAGTCATGTCATTCTTTTTAACAGCCACAAAGTCTTCCAGACGTGACTCACTCATTCCTCACTGATGGACACACACATCGCTTCAAGGCCTGTTACATCATGCAAATGACTGCCATGAACAAACTTGTCTATACAGGTATCCCCTGCTTTTTGAAAATGCACATTATACCGCTTGGAAAGGCTTCATAGGAATTCCCTGCTTCCAGAGAGCGGAGACACCCACGTTTCCCTGAGCACCTGCTTGGTATCGACTGGTTCTGCTGTAGATACCAAGCAGATGACTGGTCACATTTTGTGTTTTTCAGAGATTGCCAAATTGTCACCTATTTACACTCCCACCAGCAGGACCCATTTCCTCACATCCTGAGCAACAGTTGATATTGTCAAACTCTGATGGGTGAAAAGCGGTGTCTCCTTGTTAGCGTGCGGATCCCCATCTAGATGGAGCCGAACAGCTTTTCTTTTCCATCCTTACAAGGGGATATGTGTTTGTTGATTTTAGAGAAGGCGAAGGGAGAGGGGGAGAGAGAAACATTGATGAGAGAGAGAAACATCGATGTGAGAGAGAAACATCGATCGGTTGGACCAGAAAGCGAACCTGCAACCTTTTGTTGCACAGGACGACACTCTAACCAACTGAGCCACACTGGCCAGGGCTGAACATTTTTTCATAGGAATTTACTAGTCACAACTGCCCATTTTTCCCTATCGATTTGTTTGCCTTTTTTTCTTATTGGTTTGTAGGCACTTTTTACATAGGTTGGCTCCAAGACCCTTATTTTGTTACACATGCAGAGAGCATGGAGGGTCTGGGTGGTGGGTTGATACCTTGGCTGTTGATACGAATGCTCATGGGCAGCTGGGCTGTCATAGCCAGGAAGTTCTGCTGTAGCGCTCGCTGCATGAGCCGTTGCTGCTCATCCGCCACCAGGGCCATCTTCTTTTCCGGAGGCTCCCCAGACTCCAGCTTCTCCCGAAGCTGCTCCAGGGCGGCCGCCTGGGCTGCCACGGCTGCCTGGGCTGCTGCTGCTTGCACTGCTACTGCCTGGGCTGCCACCACGGGGTGGCCTGCCAGGGAGACTGGCAGGCGGCCGGGGACTGTGATGGGGATGGCCGAATCCTCCTCTAGACAGGAGAGAAGAGGAGTTGGTGGCCAAAAGGGAAGTGAGGTGGCTTGGCTCAGCCTTCCACCCACACAAGAATGAGCATTCTCTTGAATACCTCCACTGATGGAATGCTCACTCCCTCTCTGAGGGAAGTAATTTTTAAAGTTTATTTATTTAATCCTCACCCAAGGACATGCTTAGAGAGAGGAAGGGAGAGAGAAACATCGATGTGAGAAACATCGATGTGAGGATCGAACCCGCAACCCAGGTATGTACCCTAAACGGGATTGAACTGCCACCCTTTTTTCCCTCATTGATCCCTTCCACTCTGCCCCCGCCCCTTCCAGGCCTTCACCACACTACTGTCTGTGTTCATGGGTTATGCATATACACATATAAATTATTGGGTTAATCTCTCCCCCACCAATCCCTCCGCCCCCCCACCTTTCCACTTAATCCACCGCCACCTTGAAATCGAACTGCCACTTTTTGGCATACGGGACCAGGCTCTAACCACTGAGAGACCCGGTGGCCTGGGCAGTAACTAGGTTTCTGAATAGACACAAGTGCTATAAAACGCTTTCTAAAGCAGGTGATCATACTGGTGATAACACTACTAGTTATATACTAGTATTATAATAGTATTTAGCATCAGTACTACGTAGATACTATAATAGCATGTATTCCACTCTGCCCCCGCCCCTTCCAGGCCTTCACCACACTACTGTCTGTGTTCATGGGTTATGCATATACACATATAAATTATTTGGTTAATCTCTCCCCCACCAATCCCTCTGCCCCCCACCTTTCCACTTAATCCACCGCCACCTTGAAATCGAACTGCCATTTTTTGGCGTACGGGACCAGGCTCTAACCACTGAGACACCCGGTAGCCTGGGCAGTACCTAGGTTTCTGAATAGACACAAGTGCTATAAAACACTTTCTAAAGCAGGTGATCATACTGGTGATAACACTACTAGTTATATACTAGTATTATAATAGTATTTAGCATCAGTACTACGTAGATACTATAATAGCATGTAACATATTATATAATACTAGTCATAACAACAAGGCTCAGAACATGTCTAAAGCACTTCCATCTCAAACAGGAACCATCTCAAAGGGCCATTTCAACAACCCCCAGTCTACTCTTATCTCCAGATGAGGAAACTAAGGCTCAAAGAAGATTCATAACTTTCCCAAGGCCACAGAGCTGGAGAAAGGCTGAGCTGGGATTCGAACTCAGGCAGCCCAACTCCAAACCAGCTCCTAACCATTCCCCTCTTCTGTGGTTAAAACAAATGTCCCCGTCTTTCCCATCCACTAGGACCACTAGGTTCCACTAGGACCTGCTGTCTCTTCTTCCCCCTACTCTCTCTGCTGCCTGTTGTTTCCAGGCTCTCTCATGACTCCCCTTTTATTTTTATTTTATTTTTTAAGCCTTTTTATTTTTTAAAAAATATTTTTTATTGATTTTTTTACAGAGAGGAAGGGAGAGGGATAGAGAGTTAGAAATATCGATGAGAGAGAAATATTGATCAACTGCCTCCTGCACGCCCCCTACTGGGGATCAAGCCTGCAACCAAGGTACATGCCCTCGACGGGAATCGAACGCGGGACCTTTCAGTCCATGGCTCGACGCTCTATCCACTGAGCCAAACCGGTCGGGGCATGACTCCCCTTTTATCTTATCTGTTACCATCTTCCCCAGCTCCAGCATGAGACCTGGTCCACATGGATGCTTAATAACCTTTAACAGATATAGTTGAAACTCCCCAAAGCCAGGAGGGTAAACCAAGGCCCACAGAACACTGAATGACTAATATGAGCAAGACCTAACTTTTCAGAGCCTTGTGGGGATTGCCTCAGATCCTTGGGCCACTCCCAGGAAGTAGGGAGTCACAGCCTGTGTGGTAGAGGAAAAATAGGAACCCAGACATGCAAACTGGCCAGCACGAGTCCATACGGCCACATGTGCTATCTGTGCTCTATATTAGGAAGGATTCCAGGCTCAGGGGGAGAGAAGACTGTGATCGACTGGTGATGTCTGCCACGGGTGCAACTAGGAATGGGGAGCTGTTTGTCAGGCATCTGCAAACCTGGGCCTGTTGCATGCTGGGCATTTTATACACTGAAGGCTCCCAACAATTCTACAAATAGGCGGTAACTGTCTCCACTTTACTCATAAGGAAATCGAGCTCAGAAAGGGACACTGAGCTACCCAGGGGCACCTACCAATAGCTTCAGGGACGGTTAAAGGGTCAATTTGATAGACCCATACTGTACTCTCAATGATGTCTGCCGGGGCAGAGTGCTGAGGAAGATTCTAAAGCTCAAAGGGAAAAGAATACAGTGATGAACTAATAACGTCTGTCATGGGCAAAGGTGCTGAAAAAAACTATGGTGATGAATAGTGTAGCCACAGGCAGAAGACTGGGCCAGTGCTACAAGAAATGATTAGAAATGCACGCTCAATTAACAACTGCCTCGTGTGGACTGGGAAATCGGAGATTCATTAGTAATGTCGGGGTGGGAAACGTGTGCTTGATTTGTAATGTCTGCCTTGGCATAGAACTGAAGAAAAAACTATTGATTAGTGGTGCCTGCCATGGGCTCAGGATTAGTAATGTCTGCTTGCTGTGGGCATGGGGTTTGATAAATGTTAATTGTTTAGTAATGTTTGCCATGAGCACAGGTTTGCCACCCTCTTCCACGACAACTTTGGAGTTGATCAACCTGTTTACCCAGAGAGGGGAAAGGTACCAGCCCCACAGCCATATAACCTGAGCTGGGAGCAGTCCCCAGGCTCGTGCAGCCCTTCCTTACCTTTCTTGATCTTGGGGGCTGGGGTGATGGAGCTGCCATTGGTGCTGGTGGCCAGGCCCAGGGAGGACACGGGCAGTTTGGGTGAGGAGAGCATGCTGTGGGCACCACCTGGTGAGTAGGCGAAGAGGGAGCCCCCAAAGCTCTGGCGCCGGCCCTCCCGCCGGTTGCTGTCAATGGCCGCCTGGAGCTCATTGGGGTTGCTGAGGCCGCGTTTCTCACACTCGTAGGGGTACAGGTACTTCATGTACCTATGGGAAGGGGAGAAGGGACAAGGTGGCACCTGGGACACCTCCCGTGACTCCCTGCTGCCCTTGGCATTCCCGCTGTGGCACCACTTCCCCGCCTCCATCGTGCATCGCTGCCAGGGAATCGCTCGTCAATGCTGAGCCAGGCTGACTGCTTCTGCTGTTCCCTATCTCAGTGCCTGTCCCCATGACCGCCTCCCACTAATCCTTTAATACTGAATTCCAGAACCTCAGAGCCAGAAACTTCCTTAAAGCCCCACCCCAAGGTTCTCAGGATTCCGACGCCTCGCGTGGCCCAGTGCCTCTGCGGTCCTTCCTGTCCCAGGCCCTCTGCGCGCGCAGCACTCACTGGGTCCGCAGGGTGAAGGCAGCGCTGGTGATGGACGTGGGCAGGTTGAGGCCCTTGGTGATCTCCCGCCACAGCTTCTTATTGATGACCTCCACCAGGCCGCCCTTTTCCGTCACCAGCACATACAGCATGAACAGGTCAAGCACCTGCTTTGCCATGATGGGGATCCGATTCACGGGCGTCCCTGTAGGGGAGGGCCAGTGTGGGCGAGGGGGATGCCGCTGCCAGGGCCAGGGCCCCACAGGCAGCAGATGCCGAGTCTATGGCTAACACACAGGTTCAGAGCAGGGTCTCCCCAGCTGTGTGGACATCAGGGTAGGTCACGCTCTGTGGGGGCATCTGGACACTGTGGGAAGTTGAGCAGCATCCCTGGTGCCCACCCACTCGATGCCAGAAGCACCCCCAGTAATGACAACCACAGATGCCCCTGACACTGCCCAGTGTTTCCTGGGGCAGATCGCCCCAGGTGAGACCCATCCCCTGCTCCAGGCCGTACTAAGGTAACAGCTCTGCCTCAGTTTCTTTTTTTTTAAATTGATTTTTTTACAGAGAGGAATGGAGAGGGATAGAGAGTTAGAAACATCGATGAGAGAGAAACATCGATCAGCTGCCTCCTGCATCCCCCCCCCCTGGGTATGTGCCCGCAGCCAAGGTATATGCCCTTGACCGGAATCGAACCTGGGACCCTTCAGTCCGCAGGCCGACGCTCTATCCACTGAGCCAAACCGGTTACAGCTAAAGATTTTTTTTTATTGATTAAGGGCGAGGGAGACAGAGAAGCTTCGATGTGAGAGCAAGACATTGATTGGCTGCCTCCTGCCCGCCCCCTACCAGGAATCGAGCCTGTAACCTGGGGCATGTGCCCTGACTGGGAATCGAACCAGCAACCTTTCAGTACATGAGATGATGCCCAACCAAGCGATCCACATTGACCAGGGCCTGCCTCCGTCTCTTTATCAGTGATCTGGCTCCTTGCTCAACTCAACTGAGGGGAGAAGACGAGTGCAGAGAGGGAGATGTTGGGGGCCAAACTGGGGAGGAGCAGAGAAATGCAGCCTTTGTTGTTCCTACTCCCATCACCAGCCACAACAGCTGCCAAAACAACTCCGCCTGAGCTCCCAGAGGCCCGCTCCTCCAGGCTGGTCTGCGGTGTGTGTGGGGAGGGCCGTAGTCAGGGAGAGAGCGCTTGGTTAATCCACTTAGAGCAGTGGTTCCAACGTGGCGCACACGCCCCACGGGGGGGCACTTTGAATTTCAGGGGGGCAAGTCGAGAATGAGCTATTAACGGCGAATTTTTTGCATGTCTTATGGTGCTAGGGGCCTCATATACAGCATATAAATATATATTGTGACCTATTTATGCATTCAGTTCTCTATTATATGTTTTGAAACTTTACTTGCTATGTTTTCATATTACTTGATATTATTATTATTTTTTAAAACAATTTTAGTGATTTCTTCCTCGGTACTTCAACTGTCCTTTCGTTCTTTTATTTTTCTCTTTCACGGATGCCATGTTCTTTGGAAGCTTGTTTAGACCAAGTTATTGGTTTTTTAGGCTTCCTCCACGTGAATAGGAGTTCACTTTTTATATAATAAGAATGATATGTCATGGGGGGGGGCATCAGGATTTTAGAGATGCTTAGGTGGGGCATGGCCGAAGAAAGGTTGGGAACCACTGACAGAGAGTGGGGCAGTGGGCAGCCCAGGGAGACAGGGAGGTGGGGCAGCCCAGGGAGGGGAAGGTGGTGGGGCAGCCCAGGGAGAAAGGGCAATGGGCTGGCTCAGTGAGGGGAGGGCTGCCCCCTGCAGATAGGCCTGCTCCCTCTTCTGCCCCACCTGACCTTCTATATCCTCTTACCCAGAAGTTCCCAGCCTCAGAGCCTTCAGATCTCAGTGTGGCCTGTCTGGCGCTTTCCTGGCCAAGGGTAGAGAAGGCCCCCTTCAAACCTCCCTCCCTGGCAGGGGGATCCTGGGTATACTTTCTATGCACCCCTCGCCCTGCCCTGCTCACTTGGATCCTCCGTGCCCAGCCTGGCATAGAGCGAGCATCCCATAAACAGTGAAGGCTGACAAGCTACATCTCAGCCTAAGGGTCATGCTTACCGCCCACCCCCCCTTTAGGGATGGGCAAAGGGAGACTGCAGAGTGTGACCTGATGGAGGAAGGTTCGAGGGAGGGGCCAGCTTGCCTGTCCCACGGGGCCTGGGCGACGCCGTCCACCTCTGGACATTCTAGAACCACCTCCCGCCACCTTTTCACTGCTTTCTGGTCCTTCCCATGTTGCAAAATCCCCAATGAACTGAGAACCACAGGGAAATGGACCTCAGACCTTCCCCCATCGCCCCAATTTCATTTTCAGCCCAGGGGGGAGAGAGAAAAAGCAACACCAGTGTCAGCACACTCGGCCCGGAGATGTGGTCACAGCGCCATCCTGCCTGGACACCGATTTAGGCTCTGCCTGGTGGGGGTGGGGGTGAACGGAGGAATCAGATCCTCCGGGCTCTGCCGCAAGCAGGCCAGTGGGGCCTGGACGGATGTTTATAGAAGGAGGGGGCTGGGAGAGCACAGAGAGGCATGAGGGTGGGCAGTGAGGGCTGTGGGGGAGATAAGAAAGGGTGGAGAGGTCGTCAGGGAAACAGCAGGAGGGTGGGGTAAGGCTCTTACTTTGTGACCCTCTGTCTGGAGGGCAGCTGGTGAGATGCAGGACATGGTGTCCTGGGTGAAGGGGGTCTGACAGATTCTCTCCCCCAAAGGCCCCCAATTACAGAGAAGGAGGGTCCAAGATGGCAGGGAAGAGAGGGCCTTGGAGCTGGGTTTTGAGAAACGCACAGGAGTTTGCTGCCGCCTACCCTCCAGGAGCAC